AGCTTGCAAACAAGGCTCTGTTCTATCAGCAGATGGACTGGGGACAGTAAAAGAAGGGTAGGATCAGAGAAGACAGAAAAAACAACCTTTTTACACAATGCGGAGGGATTAACCCCTTAGGTTCTACAGTGAGTATAACAAGCATGCATTACTGCATATACAGACTGATTTTACTGTTGTGGGTTTAGTAACACTATAAGTTTTGACAATAAAACCTGGAAGCTGATTGGTTTCTATGCAGAACTGCACTCTCCAGTTTTAGTAAATAACTCCGTGTATGTACCTTCCACTACACATCTCTGAGATCAATGTCCACAGGAGCTCTCTCAAGTGCATCTCTAGTAAAACGTTTCTTTCTTATGGTTTTTGTGTATGGTGAGGAAGCGTTAGGCCTGGTTCACACCAATGCGTTTTTAAGTGCTTTTTGCAGAAACGCCCTACAGTCCATTTAACATTGTTTCCTATGGGACGCGTTTACATGATCTATGCCTCTTTCAGCCACTGCATTTTTGGCAAGGGTGGCTTTTTTTAAACGCAAAATGCTGTGTTTTTTGGCTCAATGGATTGTAATGGAGAAATGTACAAAATGCATGTAGTGCGTTTTTGACACATTTTTGCATTTTTTTAATCTGACCAGCATTAGGTTATCCCCCCCCCCCCCCAAAAAACAACAACCCATAAAGAACGCAAAAAGCATAAAAAAAAAGGTCAAAAACGCACTGCAGAAAAGGACAAAATGCCCACTGCATTTGTGTGAACCTGGCCTTAGAAAACCTGTCAAGTTTTTTTTTGTATTGCTGTGTTGCCACTAGGCACATTTGCCCTCTCTGTTTGATCTTGGTATCGTTCTCACAAGAAAAAAAAAAGTGACCGATAAAGGGAAGAATCAGAGAATCCCCAGGATTTACAAAGTTTGTAAGCGGAGGTCTTTTGGCCTAAAAATTTACAGGTTCACCTCCAGAAAGAAGGACGAACCTATAATGCAACACACAGCCTTTGGTCACCTGAGTCACAAGAGCCAATAGTCTGAAGAGATATAGCCCAGCCCCCCCCTCACTATAAAAGGTGTGCTCACAGCAGCCATATTGTCAGACTTTGTTGGAGATGTTAGAGGAGATATCGTATTATTTTTCAAATATGCCATTGGTGCATGTCCCCCATGTCAGTGTCCAGCTCCCCATGCCTTTGTATAACAGATTTCTTATTAGCACTACAACCGGCTAGAACTGAATAAGATTCATCCCCCGTGGACTTGAATGGAGATCCCTGCAAAGTTCACAAACTTCAAGCAAGAACTGAACCCAAGCGTATTCACTCATCCCTAGGTAAAACCACCTAACGTTATGGTTGTCACCGGCACAGGAGATGAGATCTTCCACCAGAACTTTGAAGAGAGGACTCCTCCTTTCCTGTTGTCTCCAAGACACTAAGGTCCCGTTGAGACAGGGGAATGAGAGCGGACAGGCTGCTGTGTTCAGATGTCTCTGGACACAGCAGCACTCTGTGTTAAGAACCCATACTATCTGGATGATAGGCTGTAGCCAGTTTGTATGCAACAAAAAAAAGCCATCCCTGGAAGCAAACTGCATACAGGGCCAGTCCTGATCCTTCATCCAAATGATTGCATGTGAACAGCGGCAGTGCCGATCGTTGGGTACAGGTACAAATCTTGGCACAGCTGTTCCGACACTGACCTGAATGAGCCCTAAATGACAGGAAATGTCTCCAACAAAAAAGAGCAAAAACAATCCTGACAAACAAGAGAGTGCCAAGTTTTATTGCCATCTGAGGTGGCCATTTTTTTCTGCCATCCCCAAGACTATCTCTATTAGGCATTACCATGGCAAACCCAGGCAACCATCTTTACCAATGACACTGTGGCCCAGCTGCCAGCGTCCTAGCAACCAATCATGCTGTATATCATTGGTAGCTGGGCTGCTGTGTCACTGGTTGCTAGGATTGAGGCAGCTGGACCACACAGCATTATTGGCTGTTGTGGTGTATACACGGCAATGAGAAAACTGTGTGCGGTACAGACACTCCGACCTCAGTGTTCTGCAGACATCCCTCTGGGTCCTATTCCCAGACCGAAAAGTGCCGGAGCCCCTGTGTCCCCACACCCCCTAGTCAGCCTATGAAGGCACAGCAAACCCTCTGGGTCTTATCCCCACAGTAGGGGTTGTTGGAGCCCCCCCCCCCACTGTCATCCAATAAAGACACACTGATCCCTTTGGGTCTAATTTAAACAATGAGAAGTGTCGGGGTCCCTGTGGCCCTTCAAGTCAACTTATAAAGGCACACCAATCATACGGGAGAAAGGTAAACCCCTAGTTGATCACTCTGTGAAGGCACGTGATCCCTCTGGTTCTTTTCCCCACAGTGGAGGAAGTTGGGGCCCCTGTGCCCCCCCCCCCCACTCATTCAATAAAGGCACATTATTTCCTCTTATTACCGCAGTGGGGAGTGTCGACTTCCCCCCGCAGCCAGCCTACAAAGGTATAGCGATCCCTCTGGATCTGTTCCCAACCAGTGGGGCCCCCAGTCAGTTTATAAAGGGACAGCAATTCCTCTGGGTCTTAGTTCCACAGTGGGGAGTGTTAGGGGCCCCTGTGCGCCCCCCCCCCAGTCATTGTATAGAAGCCCAGCAATCTCTTTGGGCTCCCCCCAATCAGTCATCCCATAAAGAGCCGGTGATCCCTCTGCAGGTGGTGTTGGGGCCGCTGTGCCTACCCCCCAGTCAATCATCCTAAGGCACAGCAACCTCTGGGAGGGGATATTGGAGGCCCCTGTGGCCCTACAGATGGTCATTGTATAAAGGCCCAGCAATCCCTCTGTCGCCCCTCCCAGTCAGCCTATAATGGCCCAGTGATCACTCTGCAGGTGGTGTTGGGGCCTCTACACTGTTGACTGCTGGGGCCTGCCCAGGCTATGCCCAGTAACCCCCTGGGGCCCCCAGTAATCCTATAAAGGCCAGCAATCCCCATGGAAACCCCCAGTCATCCCATAAAGGCCAGCAACCACCCAGGGGCCCCCTCAGTCACCCTATAAATGCCAACAACCACCCTGGACCCCCCCAGTCATCGTATAAAGGCCAGCAATCCTCCTGGGGCCCCCCCCCCGTCATCCTATAAAGGGACAACAATTCCTCTCCTTTGGATCTTGTTTCCACAGTGGGGAGTGTTGGGGCCCCTGTGCCGCCCCCCCCCCCCCCCCAGCCATTATATAAGCCCAGCAGTCCCTTTGGGCTCCCCCCAATCAGTCATCCCTATAAAGGGACGGTGATCCCTGTGCCCCCCCCAGTGAATAATCACAGCAACCTCTGGGAGGGGATATTCGAGGCCTCTGTGGCCCTACAGATGGTCATTGTATAAAGGCCCAGCAATCCATTTGGAGCCCTTGTGGCCCCCCCAGTCAGCCTATAACGGCCCAGTGATCACTCTGTAGGTGGTGTTGGGGCCTCTACACTGTGGATTGCTGGGGCCTGCCCACTATCCCCAGTCAGTCAATAAAGGCCCAGCAATCCCTCTGGGGCCATCCAGTCAGGCTATAAAGGCCCAGTAACCCCCTGGGGCCCCACAGTAATCCTATAAAGGCCAGCAATCCCCATAGGACCCCCATTCCTCCCATAAAGGCCCAGCAATCCCCCTGGGGCCCCTCAGTCATCCTATAAATGCCAAAAATCACCCTGGACCCCCCCCCAGTCATCCTATAAAGATCTGTAATCCCCCTGGGGGATCCTATAAAGGCCCAGTAATCATCCTATAAAGGCCCAGTAATCCCCCTGGGCCCCTCAGTCATCCAATAAAGGCCAGCAACCACCCTGGGGCCCCTCAGTCACCCAATAAAGGCCAGCAACCACCCTGGGGCCCCTCAGTCACCCAATAAAGGCCAGCAACCACCCTGGGGCCCCTCAGTCATCCTATAAATGCCAACAATCACCCTGCCCCACCCCAGTCATCCTATAAAGATCAGTAATCCCCGAGGCCCACCAGTCATCCTATAAAGGCAAGCAATCCCCCCCGGGCCCCCCAGTAATCCTATAAAGGCCAGCAATCCCCCCAGGGCTCCCCAGTCATCCCATAAAGGCCAGCAATCCCCCCAGGGCTCCCCAGTCATCCCATAAAGGCCAGCAATCCCCCCCAGGGCTCCCCAGTCATCCCATAAAAGCCAGCAACCACCCTGGGGCCCCCCAGTCATCCAATAAAGGCCAGCAACCACCCTGGGGCCCCCCAGTCATCCAATAAAGGCCAGCAACAACCCCGGGGCCCCCCAGTCATCCAATAAAGGCCAGCAACAACCCCGGTGCCCCCCACTCATCCCATAAAGGCCAGCAACAACCTCGGGCCCCCCCCCCCCCCCCCGGAGCCCCCCAGTCATCCCAAAAAGGCCAGCCCCCCCCCCCAGTCATCCCTTAAAACCAGCAATCCCCCCCTGGGGCCCCCCAGTCATCCCATAAAGGCCAGAAATCCCCCCGGGGGCCTCCCAGTCATCCCATAAAGGCCAGCAATCACTCTGGGCCCCCCCCCCCCAGTCATCCTATAAAGGCCAGCATTCCCCCTAGGTCCCCCCAGTCATCCTATAAAGGCCAGCAATCCCCCTGGGGACCCCAGTCATCCTATAACGTCCAGCAATCCCCCTGGAGCCCTCCAGTCATCCTATAAGGACAACAATGGGGCCCCCCAGTCTGGGTAATCCCCCCCCCAGTCATCCCTATAAAGGCCCAGTAATCACCCCAAGACCCTTCAATCATCCTATAAAGGCCAGCAACAACCCCGGGCCCCCCCATAAAGGCCCAGTAATTGCCCTGGGCCCTCTGGTCATCCTATAAAGGCCCAGTAATCTCTCTGGGGGCCCCCCAGTCATCCTATAAAGGCCCAGTAATCCCCCCGGGGCCCTCCTGTCATCCTATAAAGGCCAGTAACCACCCTGGGGCCCAACAAGTCAGTGCTCCTAGACAGGCCCATTGTAGCTCCCCGCGGGGCCCTGTCTGTGGCCCTTACCTCGTGCAGCCCCCGGCGGGCCCGACTGAGCACCTCTTCGTAGCCGTTGTGGCGGAGCTCGCTGAGGCTCTCATAGTACTCCTCGGGGTCGTCGTTCTCGGTGAAGAGGAGCTGGGAGAGGATCCTCCAGCCACATGTGTCCAGGGCATGGCCCAGGTAGAGCTGCAGGCGGCGGCACAGTTCCTCCACATCGTCTTCGCTGAGCTCCGGGGGCCCGAACAGCACCGACCAGACGGCGGACGGCTCCTCGGGGAAGGAGGGCAGGCACGGCTCCAGCTCCCCGCTGACGGAGCACAGTTGTTGGTGGACGGCCCGGAGGTCCTGGAAGGAGAAGAGTCCGGCCCAGCTGCAATCGTCCTCCGGCTCCTCTCGGGGGGGCCCCGGCTCCTTCTTCGGGCTCCCCCGGGGACTGCGGCTCTGGTCGGCGCTCCTCTGGCGCTGGGCCGTCCGGTTGTGGCAGGTGATGGCGAACTTGCCCTCCACTTCGTTCCAGGCCACGATGAAAACGAACTTGTGTCGCTCCTTCTCCTCGAACACGTTGGGCCTCACGGCCACCCAGTCCGCCTCCAGCGTGTCCTCCAGGGTGAACGACATGTCGGTCGGTGCGGTGCTGTGCGCTCGGTGGACGGTGCTGCGGCCCGATCTCTCCCCGCTGGCCCCTCTATTGTTGTTATTGTCATCAGCGGCCTCGCGCGGCTGTCACGTGACGCGCTTTGTTGATAGTCACCGGGCAGCCGAGCCACTTCCCCGCCGCAGCGCCGGCGATCACCCCGCGGCCTGTCCGCACCATCACCCGCTGGGTCTCCCTCTGTGTCTGCGGCCACGGGAACCGCTCCCCGCCGCCGCCTCAGCTCTGATCCGCGGCCTACCCCAGATCGGGACTTTTGCTGGGAGACAACAAAGCTGTCAGGCCGGTGCTGACGTCACGGTCCGTGAAAGAAACGTAAACATGCGCACGTGTCAAGGGAGCGCGCCTGTGCGCGGGACCGGGCTGGAGGCGCGCGACCTAGCTGCGGCATTGTGCTGTCTCCATTCTATATAAGTCCATAGTGGCAGGCTTCTTCTAGCAGACATTGCCATGTTGTCTTGGTAATTTCAGGTCTCATAGAACTGAAGGCAAAACTGGTTTATTCCTTTCTGACAGAGTCTGTGAAGAGGCTAACCCCCCTTCAGGGAAGAGGATTAACCCCCCCCCCCCCTTCAGGGAAGAGGATAGCCCCCCTCAGGGAAGAAGCTAACCCCCTCAGGGAAGAGGATAACCACCCCTCTCAGGGAAGAGGCTAACCTCCTCAGGGAAGAAGATAACCACCCCCCTCAGGGAAGAGGATAACCCCCCTCTGGGAAGAATATAAACCCCCTTCAGGAAAGAGGCTAACCCCTCAGGGAAGATAATCAAGAAGCTAACTCTCTCAGGGAAAAGGATAACCTCAGTGTTTTACACCATCTGTGTCTCATTGTGGAGAATTCTCTCCACTTGCTGTCCCATAGTCAAAACACCTCAAGTGAGCAGAAATCCCTCCAAATTGACAAAATTCTTGGAAGATAACCTCAGTGTTTTCCCCGTTCTGGTGACAGCTCAAAACTTGGGAATTTCTGTCACTCGTTTGGTGATAATGGCCAACTTGGTGATAATGGCCAACACAACCAAGACAGAGGATGAAGCTCAGGGACGGACAGCAATAAAAGCCTGGCAGGTGTTCTAATCCTTCTCCATTCTATCCAGAATTAAAAAAGGTAGACAGTTGTCTCCATTAGACCATTGCAGACAGGCAGCAGTACTTACAGTAAATGATGAGGATTGGTATAGCCAGCACTCGTCTTCCAAAATACAGTGGTACCTCAGTTTACAAACGCCTCGGTTAATGTAATTTTAGTTTCCGAATGAAAATCCATTGAAAATCATGCCTCGGTTTACAAATTTTTTATGAATTTTTTTCGCAATACAAAGTGTATGTCGATGCTGATTTTTAAATGCAATTGCAGCTTTTTTTTTTTTCTTCACTATATCTTACAGGATTAGCTGTCACTTTCCCTGGAGTTAAAGGAAGCTTTGTTTCTTTTAAGAAACTAAAAGGAAATATTGTTTCTTTTAACTGGGGAAAATAAACTAAAAGAAAACTTTCTTTCTCTTAGCTGGGGGGGAAAGTGACAGCTGAATTTCTGAGCTATAGTGAAGAAACAAAAAAGCGTTAATTACATATAAAAACCAGCACCGGGTCCCCCCCCCTCCCAGCCATACCATGCCCTTCAGTTCTGGTATGGATTTTGAGGGGAACTCCCAAGCAAAATTTTTTTTTTTTAAATGGCGTGGGGGTCCCCTGCAAAATCCATGCCAGACCCTTATCCGAGCATGCAGCCTGGCAGGTCAGGAAAGGAGGGGGACGAGCGAGCGTCCCCCCTCCTGAACCATACCAGGCCACATGCCCTCAACATGGGGGGGTGATTTGAGGTAAGGGGGCTCCCCCCAAGTATCTTTTCCCCATGTTGATGGGGACAAGGGCCTCTTCCCCATAACCCTGGCCGGTGGTTGTGGGGGTCTGCAGGCAGAGGGCTTATCGGAATCTGGAAGCCCCATTTAACAAGGGGGCCTCCAGATCCTGCCCCCCCCCCCTATGTGAATAAGTATGGGGTACATGGTTCCGATACTCATTCACAAAACGTGTAGTGTGAAAAAAGACAGGACACGGTCTTTGACAAGTTCTTTATTAAAAGAAAAAAGAAAAAGAATGTCCCCCGCAGTAGATCCAACGTCAATCACAATGTCCGCCGACCCGAAAAAAAAAGGCTCCACTTCCAACGATGGCTCCCACCATCTGCCTGCTCCGGTGGTTTGATAGTTCTTAAATAGGTAAGGGGCGGGACCACCCGGGGTCATCACGTATGTGACCCAACCCCATGTGACATAAATGATGGAAAACAGCGTTTCGATTTACAAATTTTTCGCTATACAAAAAGTCTCACAGAATGAATTAAATTCGTAAACCGAGGTATGCCTGTAATTAACTTTATTGAACAAGTAAAATGTGCATAAAAAATGGGATATTTATTTTGTAACCTAACCTAACCCTGCTTCAAACTTCTCCACGACTTTATCCCTGACCTGTCCAGTGTGTTCCTTGGCCTTCATGATGCTGGTTGTTCACTAATGTTCTCTAATCTCTGAGGGCTTCACAGAAAAAATGTATTTATACTGACATCAAATTTAACACAGGTGAAGGCAATTGGCACCACTAGATCTTAGTTAGGAATATCAGACTAATGTCTGCTATAGATGGGTCGAAAATAAAAAAAAAAAAAATTGGCCAATTTTCGCGCTGGTAGTGGGTTAATTGGTTGGCCGTTTTTGGAGTTTTTTGCACAGTTTTTTTGTCGGTCATGTTGGAAAATTTGCGGCCGATTTTGGCGATCGGCCGATTTTTCCCGGCAATGATGGGCAAATTGGCCAGTCATTTTACCGATAAAAAAATCCACGCATGAGCCATGACCTGCAAGGGACAGAAGTTATGGGGTGAACTTTATGACTTAGTCGGACGATTTTTTCTACTGTTGGTGGTAACATCAGCCAAATGACTGATGTTTAATTTGTTTTTTTTTTTTTAAAAATCAGCCGATTTTCGACCCGTCTATGGCCTGCATTATGCAAAAAAAAACAAAAAAAAACAAAGTCGTTCGTTCAGCCGACGTTACCACCAACGGTAAATAAAATTGGCTGACTAAATCATCATAAAGTTCACCCCATAACTTCTGTCCCTTGCAGGTCAGGGCTCATGCTCAGATTTTTTATCAGTAAAACGATCGGCCGATTTGCTCATCATTGCTGGGAAAATCGGCTGCAAATTTTCCAAAAACTCTGCGAAAACCCTGAAAAACGGCCGACCAATTAACCCACTAGCAATGCGAAAATCGGCCGATTTTCGACCCGTCTATGGCCGGCATAAAGGGCGCTGAATACAAATGCACACCACACTTTTCACATATTTATTTGTATAAAAAATTTGTAAAACCATTTATCATTTTCCTTCCACTTCACAATTATGTGCCACTTTGTGGTGGTCAATCACATAAAATCCCAATAAAATACATTTACGTTTTTGGTTGTAACATGACAAAATGTGGAAAATTTCAAGGGGTATGAATACTTTTTCAAGGCACTGTATCACCCTATGAAAAGCAATCCACAGGCGATATAGCAGCAGCTGACAGGCATTTAGGAGGTGCTACTGCCATCTCATGATGCCCTCCCCCTTTTTTTTTTGTTGAACAACAATTTTACATCATGCAAAAAATTATTAAACCTACAAAATGGTGTTTAAATTAGATTCATCCAGAAGACACCATCAGATTTAAATCATTGCGCCTATGTGCTTAGAAGTAACATATGAAAACCTAAAGTGGGTGCTGCTAGTACAAAACCACTGTAACATAACAAAGATTGTGATCAATAAATGAATTAAATATATGTGCCACAAATAATAGCGCAACCTTTGAATATATAAATTATATAAATAATATTAATATAAACACCACCACCATAAAGTGCAATATTAATCAAATGAATCTGTTGAATCCTCATGAAGTCCATTCAAAAAAAGTCCATATCATATATGAAAATGCACACTCTCCAGAATCTGGTGAAAAACCAGCGTATCTGTAAAGATCCAGAATTCCACCACTGAACTCCAGCCAGAACCTGGTGATAAACCAGCGTGTCTATATAGATCCAGCACTCCACCACTGAAGTCCAGCTTATGGATATCCAAAATATTTTTATATAGTACATGCAGATAAAAAAACACACTCGCCATAGTGCAAATAACGTATTGATTTATTGAAATAATCCCCCTTGATAAAACTGCACTCACATAGAGTCAAAATATACAAGCGTATTGTTACTAGGAGCACAGAGCTCTCAATCCAGCGTCTCACCAGCCTAGCCTGCAACCAAGATGGCGTTGTTGCGATCACGTGGTCCGGACACGTGGGTTAGCATGTGTGATGATGTCACCAGCTAGCCACGCCCTAACGCGTTTCGTCATACGACTTCTACAGGAGAGTCTCTCTCCCTCAGAAAAAGTCGTATGACGAAACGCGTTAGAGCGTGGCTAGTCGATGTCCGATTGCCCGCCGCATTATAGCAGTTCCGTTATAAGTCAATGATCATTATGATTAGTAATATAATAAAAAAAAAAATCCACTATATATACACCATAGTTTGTAGATGCTATAACTAGAGATGAGCGAATTATTCAAAAATTCGATTCGGCTGCTTCGCCGAATTTGCGGGAGAAATTCGATTCGATGCGAATTTATTCGCCGCGAATTTAACTTATTTAAAGGGTTTCTAGGCTTCAGAGAGC